AGCGAAGCCTCAGTCTTTCATTCTTTCTCCTAAACATTCAGTTATTTCCACAATTGTTTCAAAGTTTCGCTACTGATGACAATTTGATGTTTATGAGTTAAAAAACGAAGAATTTCTTTAAGATGCTCAACTCATTTAATTTTAAAAAATTATTTCTAGTGTAGGAGTCTCAATTAAATCCCCACTTCATTTGTCTAGTATTACAATTCTATCCTGGTATTAACATGACTTTATGCTAGTATTATTACAACTTTATTGTAGAATTATTATGATTTTTTTGTGACTTTGTTCTGGTAATTAAACTGTTTTTTCTCCATCATTCTAATCAGGATGAATTAAACTAAGATGAATTATAGAAGGTTAATCTCACCCCTCCCATTGTTATTCCATCAATAATGGCGACATACGGCTTCCTGTAGGAACCTGAAAAGACAGAAAACCTCTTAGAGGCAGCAAATCGCATTTAATCCCGATAAAACTCTGAATCTTGTGGTTTTGAGGGGACAAAACATGGAAACTCTCAGCAGCTGGATGTAAGCACTGAATCAAACCGATGGCGTGGTTCAGCATGTACTCCTCCCGGAAGAAGTCCTGCGCGAGGGAATCCCCGACCTTCCCTGCTTCTGTGACGGCTGCGAACGAAAAGAAACAGCAATGAAGGAGAATCCTGAGGAAGGAGCAGGAAGAGACCCTGGGGTTGACCTTTCACCTCTGATGTCGCCTCCAGCACAGAACGCTTTCCCTCCTGCTGCTTTGATGATCACCATGTCCGTCTCAGGGTCACTTTCCCATTTCTGGAAACAAAAGTAATTCAATAAATCATAAACATCCATCAGTTAATTACAAAGAACTGAATCTGTTATCAGTTCAAATGAGATCAAAACAACAAAATAACAGTAACTAAATAAATTAGTCTGACAGCAACAGGAGCTGAATCAGCCAATCAGAAAGCTGCTCAAAATATTAAATAAACTTTTATTTTACCTTCAGTCTGGAGCTGCAGGACATAAACGGTTTAAACGTTACAAACATCACCTTCAGGTTTCTATAAAACATCTCAGTTTTCTCCATGGCTGCACTGATGGATGTTTTCTAAACTTTAAACCCGACCTGCTAACTTCACTTAGTTCATCTGAAAAGTCGCTTCTTAGAGAATCGTTCGTTTGATTTGATTCTGATCTTTAGGGTCACGATTCGATTCAGACAATTTTTCTGTTCAAACATTTTAACAATTCTGTTTAAATAATGAATAACAAGAGAAAAATACAGTGCAAAAAATAAAATGTATTTACATCTCTTCCACCAGGTTGCATCAGTTTATATTTAAACAAAAATAGGTTTGTGAGTAAATGTCTGTATGTTGAATCCTCAGCATCAGGTTAGCTTGGCTGTCTGTCTTTTTCTTGAATAAAAAATATGAAAGGATTCATCAAAACTCCCGCGGTGGTGAGTGGATGCAGAATGCGATAAGCAGTTCACTCAAAACTAGGAGCGGAAAAGATGAACAACTTAAACCCACTCTGAAATCGATTTCTGAGAATTTCCAGGATTAGGAATTGTGATTTTCTTGCTTTTCTCTACAGAAACAAAAAGTTTTGCCAAGTTTTCAGGAATTTAGCAAAAACAGGATAAATTTTGTCTGATTTAATTCAGTGAGTAAAAAAGATGGACGTGTTTTTATTGGTGTATGTAAACTTCTGGATCGGCGGGATGGATAAAGTGTTTGTGGGTCGACGGCAGAGCGGCTCCGCCCACCTGCAGCTGCGGGTGGATCCGCCGGATCATGCTCAGGTTGAGCGCGTTCAGGACTTTGGGTCGGTTCATGGTGATCACTGCGGCCCGGCCCGCTTTCTCCAGCAGAACCTCCGGTTCCACGTGACCCGACATCTGGAGGGAAACAGAAACATTTAACGCTAAACAGATACTGATGAAAATACCAGAGGAAATAATTCAGTAATTATCATAAATTACTGAGGTCCAATAGCTGCATAACTTTAAGTTTAAACTGATTCTTTTACACGTTTAACTGACTGAGATGTTTTTCTCTTTAAGTGAATCTGTCAAATAAATCTCAGTGATGGATGGAGAGCAGATTTATTAATATAATATCTATATAACTGAGCTTCATCCAGAGGCAGCAGTGGCTTTAATCAGCTGAACTTCACCATCTGGATGAAGCTAAAACCTTCCAGACGCTGAAATTCTCTGTTCTGTTTCTGTCTTCAGCTTCCCACTGGTTCTGATCCAGATGGAGGTTTTTTCTTCTGTTAAAGGAAAGTTGTTGTTCTCTGCTGTCGCCACATGCTTTGCTCAGTGTGACGGGTCGCTGCAGCTCAACTGACTGCTTAAATCATTTTAGATTTATGACTAGTTCTTATATTTACTGTTTATTATTTGCATCCCACTTATTTTTATTCCTATTTTTTATTTTTATCTGTCATTTTATTTATTTTTTATGCCTATTTTTTTTTAATTAATTTGATTATTTTCTTTTTTCTATAATGATTTAACTTACATAATTTAATTTTGACCAGTTATTATAAATTAATAAAAATGTAGGTAGCTGCATTGCAGCAAAAAGGTTGTGGGTTTAAATCCCATCCTGGGGTCTTTCTGCATGGAGTTTGTTCTCCCTCTGGATGTGTGTGTTCTCTCCAGGTACTCTGGAGGTTAATGGTTTGTCTGAATTGTGTGTAAATGTCTAAACAGTTTGTGTCCAGAACGTGTCTGGTCTGCAGATGTCATCCTCCACCCAGCAGTTGGGTTATTGTTAAATTTAAATGGTGAATTAAGGTTTGAACAAATGAGAACCTTGAAAATCAAAACCTTACAGAAATCTGGTAATCGGTGCCGGTCAGTAAAGGTCAATCGGTGCATCGTCAGCTGATACTCACCATGTGAGCCTGGATTCGCTGCAGTCTGCAAAGCGGCTTCAGTCTAAAAGACAATTGATGATAAACAAGCTGAACATGAATAGTACTTAGTGTTGTTTTATTTTATTACACCGCCAGGCGGCGCCAACAGGCCTGACTGTGATTCTAACCTAACCTTGAACCTGGTCCTGAAATAAACTGGTTAACTTTGTTACCTGTTACACTCAGTGATCAGCCAGAACATTATGACCTCTAATTATCTTCCTGCATTGACGCCTGGTGGTGATATTAGGGATAGTGAACAGCATGTTAGCTTTGGTGTTAAAAATGTCATTAGAAGGCGAGAAGGGGTTTGAGGCGGTTAGTTCAGAGTCAGTTTAGGAGAATGACGTTTTGAATAACATTTTCACTGGCTGTTTTGCCAGCTCCGCAATGACTCTAACAGACACGGTCTACACATTAAACTTTTAAAACAACAGTTTCTCTGTTGTTACAAGCAAAAATGTCTCGACTAACGTCTACAGCAACTCCACTTCCTGTACAGCTACACCAGCTTCCGGTGACAACACATACCTGCAGGCAGAAGTCAGAACCGTTAGTGGCATTATTATTAATATTATAATTAAGATGATCTGATCAACTCTGGGTGGCCAGAAGCTGCACCGCCGCAGAGCTCCCGGTTCCTCTGTTTACTTCCTGTTAGAGCGAAAAGACTGCCGCTGATTGGCGGGTGCTCACTGCCGCGACACTGCCACCTTCTGGTCAGCGGAAAGAATGCACCTGGTTCAAAAAAGTGGTGACAGAAGAGAATCCCTTGGCCTCCAAAAGGCTCAATAGAGAGAAAGTAACATTAGAAAACAGAAACTTTTTATAAACAGGATGTTTCACTTTAACAACTGTAGGTGAATTTATCTGCCTGGTGATTTTAAACCAAGCTGAAGTTACTCACTGAATAAAGTGGAAAGAGGATCCAGAAATGTTATTCAAGTGAGAGAAATTATACTTTATAATAACATTACTCAAGTAAAGTAAAAAGTACAGCAGAGTGAAACTCCTAAAATGAATTGGTTCCAAAAAGTTACTCAAGTAAATGCAACTGAGTGACTGGGGTAAAATATATTTTTGGAAAAAAATATGTACAACTTGTCATTTTAACACTTTATAAACTGATTACTGTTGAAACTTTACTCTGTAAGAATCTGATTTGAGTCAGCAGTGAAACCTGCTCAGCCTTCATAAACATTCCCATAATCAGGCGTTAACCTGAATCACAAAGACTTGAACTTTACAACCTAGAGCGTGACAGCAGCCGCATTTCATCAGAAAATGTTTCAGAACTGCTTTGTGTTTCTGATAATGACGTGGAAACGAGCCAAAAGAAAAGGTTTGTCTAACATGTTCCACCAGGTCGACGGTGTGAAGTGTTGACAGAAACAGGCCGACGTGAAGTTCAGTGTTGGTTTATTTATCCTGCAGCACAAACGTTCTGGTTCTGATCCGGGTCTGGGTCTTCCTGCTGGAGTCAGCCTGCTCTCCCAGTGCATGTGGAGGTTTTCTCTGGGAACTCTGGTTTCCTCCCACAGTCCAACAACATAAATGTTGGGTTGACTGGTTTCTCTGAACTGCCCTGAGCACTGAGTGTGTGTCTGGCTCCCTCAACCCTCTGCTAGACCAAACACAGTGTGTTCCTGTATTTACAGTGATTTTACAGAAACAAAGTCTAAACTTTGACATCTTTTGGTAAAAGAGGAGCTTTGATGGAAAAATGGATCATGATGCATTTCAAAGAAATGTGAAAGTTATGATGATGAAGCGAGTTCAGAAGCTAATTTTTATTTTTATGTGAATAGGAAGCAAATATAGTAAATTTGTATTTTTTTCTGATTTTTTTTTCTGATTCATATGTGTTACTGAGTGATTGGAATAAAAATAAAATGAAGGTTTAAGCCAGTTTTCTGATGCAGTGAATGAGGAACTGCTGACTTTAAGGTGAACCAGTGTAAAAAGCTCCTTACTGCTCACTATCACAGATTGTCAATATTATCAAAACAAGTTAATATCAGCAGGAACAGGGTGTGACTCTGGACAAACAGGAGGAGAAGCTTTAAATAAAAGACAGACAATCTGTGGTTTGTGCTTTCACATTTATCACATGCTGCAATCACTTTTTCCACTCAGAAAACAAAATCCATCAGGACTAACATCATATTCTCCACACGATAAAGGCTGACAAGTTCTGATGTGCAGATTTTCTGACCGATTATTGGTGTTTGTGGGTTTAATTGTGCGTCTACTGTAAAATTTAAAACAACTGAGATTAAAATCAGAAGGACTCCAAGAACTGATGGTTGTTCATTCAGTCGGAGTCGCTGCTGCTGCTGCTGCTGCTGCTGCTGCAGGAGCTGCTGGACGCCTGAAAAAACACAAAACAAGTTCAGGAACCAAGTCTTTAACAGTTCTCAGGTCTGTTTTATTCAAAGCTAGATCTTTAAACATTTTACTGAACATTTCTTGACATTCTGGTCTTAACTTTCTGTAAAACCTTTAAACTGACAGTGAGATGATTTATTTTGGATGGAATCTGAGCAGCAGGAGGATCGGCTCACCCCGTGGCTGTCCTTCCCTTTCTTGTGGCAGTGGCCGTGTTTGTGGCCTTGCTTGTGCTTGTGCTTGTGCTTGTCCTTGTCCTTGTGCTTCTGTTTTTTCTTGTCTTTGTGTCCATGTCCATGGCACTGACCCTGGCCGTGTCCAGGTCCGTGTCCAGGTCCGTGTCCATGACCATGTCCTGGACCGTGTGGATGTCCAGGGTGTCCTGGATGTCCAGGTGCAGCAGGGCAGTTTGACATTGGTGGAGGAAAAGCAGGGTTACCTCCTGGGTACTGGTTCCCTAAACACAAAGGAAGCCCAGAGTTAGTCAATGAAAGCTACAAAATGGAATGATTTTCATCAGAGGGCGGTTTACCTTGGTTCTGGCCGTACATTCAGAAATCCTCTGAAAGTTCTGAAAGAGAGAAAACGTTTCAATAAGCTCTGCAGCGTTTACCATGAAGAAGGGATGCAGCCAGAGTTTCATACCTGGTTCCAGAGGATCTCCTGATTCAGCTCAACCTGCAGCCGCTTTTATGCTCTGCTGCACCTTCAATCTGAGGAAGTCCTCATCAAACTATCGATGTGGAGCTTTACTGCCTGCATGACCTACATTAACCATGGTGTAATCATTAACTTTAACTGTCTCTGAGGTGGATGTTAACACTCCTCTGCTCTGTGTCCATTTTATTAGCCTTCCAAGCCTGCAGACATGGACCAAAGGGCCGAGTGAGGCGTTGCCACTAGCAGCAGCGTAGGGAGCCATGTTTGAATTTCTCAGCTAAAAGATGTTGGCCAGGCATCAACATCTGAGAATGTTTTGGTAATTTGTTGAAGAATCTTGGATTTTGATGAGTTTACTCATTTGAGCCATAAACCTCGTAAACATGACCGACCCGTTAAACCTGGTGCCATTCAGCCTGACGGCGTTGAGTTCGGTCTGCCGGTTCATGACAGCAGTTTTCCTGGGAAAAGGTGAAACACCTGCAATCACAAAACATGTGACTGAATAAGCATTTAATAAAATCTTAGTGGGAGTGTTAGTATGCATTTGAACCTGTAAGTATAATTTTGACCCTTTGTGGATTAAAGAAAAAAATAAATAAATCCATAAATCTATAAAATCTCCAAATTAACATGAAATTCCATCCATGTGAATCTGCAGACTCAGCAGCCAACACCCTCAGTTAATGTTCAGTCCAACAGTTTTATGTTTCCAACCTAAAACAAGCAAAACATTGATCCACCCAATTCTGATCCAGATAAAAGATCTTAGATTAGGACCAAAGTGCAACGTTTTTAAATCCATCTGTGCAACAGCTGCTCCCTGTTTTAGAAAAAATGTTTCCAATGAAAGATATAAATGTGGTAAAAGCTTTGGTCAAATGATCATAGAGGTGAGCAGTAGGGAGTGTTGGTGTTTGGTGAACAAAGGTCACAGTTCAACCAGCCATAGAAACCAAAACACAATACAAAACAAACATCAAACCTTCAGAAAAGGCAAACAGAGAAAACAGGATCAGATAAGATCAGAGGGAGTAAAGAGGAATAATTCAGGAATCGGTGCTTTGTGTCATGAATCGTAGTGTAGCTGGTGAGGATAGAAGCAGAGAACCCAGTTTGTTAAATAATGATGATGGTTTTAATAAAGAAAAAAAAACACAGTCCAGGCAGCACAGCTGAGCAGAAGGCTGGGAGCAACTGGCCTTCGTTCTACTGTCATAATATTTGGTCATTTTACAATTCTGTATTTCTGTTTTCATAAAATCTCTGGATCTCTGTAGGGCTGCTGCAGAGCGCACTGAGCTGGATGGGAGCGTCTGCCACTCAGTCCACCGAGTTTCATAATCTGTCTCTGATCCATGCTTTCACTGTGACTGAGGTGCAGATGTGACATTTGGTACAGCCACAGACAAACACTCATTCTTCCAAAAATGTTCAGATACGGTTTCCAAATGGGAGCACGTTGTTCGAACCCTTTCCTTGAGTCAGTGTCGTTTGCTCTGAATGCCAGAAATCAATCTGCTCTCAAGCAGCCATTGAGAGGCGCTCGTTAATTACTATAGCAACAGAGCATTGCCAGTGTTCATAATTAAAGTTTGGCCAAACAAGCACACAGTACTTATTCAGACACACCCTGATACAGAGACAAAGGTGTGGACATGAGACTTTATACACAGAGCAGTGGACGCTGTTTGGAGGCGAACTGATAAGGACAAACACCAACCGAACTGAAACACTTCCAGGAATGTCTTACACCCAGAGATGCAGCCAGTTCCATAGAAAAACCTCCAGTTTTGACCTACTGAAGGAAAAATATGTTCCAAACAGCAGGAATCATGAATAAATCCAGGGTGAATCCTGCCGGATGTGTCTGCACAAGACAAGAGGGCTCTCCTGTGCCATCCAGAAAATTTGGTCAATTGCATTGAGAGACCAGTTGACCAGATCCATAATTTGTTGATTAGGAAGATGTGCAAAGAAAGGCTCCAAAAATATAGAAAAAGAAAAAGACAAAAACAGAGCAAGCAGGGCAGGGAAAAGGGTCGGCCTTCATCGAGAGCAAGAATCCTACACCACTGGGTGGCGAAGAGCCGGGTGGTGTAGAACCGGGTGATGTAGAACCGGGTGTTGTAGAACGGGTGGTGTAGAACCGCTTGATGTAGAACTGGGTGGTGTAGACCCGGGTGGTGTAGAACTGGGTGTTGTAGAGCGGGTGATGTAGAACTGGGTGGTGTAGAACGGGTGGTGTAGATCCGGGTGGTGGAGGACTGGGTGGTGTAGATCCGGGTGGTGTAGAACCGGGTGGTGTAGAACTGGGTGGTGTAGAACCGGGTGATGTAGAACGGGTGGTGTCTCCATCCTCCTGGTTTTAGTCAGAACTCCAGCAGCAGCTTCTGGACCGTTGGTTTGATTGAGTTCAGCTGGTAGAATGTCAGGTTCAGGTCAGAGGTCATCACCACACCCAGATTTCAGGCTTGATCTCTATTTTATAAGTTCAGTTTGGTTTCTGTATACCGTAATACATAATACTATAGCATTTACAGCCTAAGCTGATTTGCAGTGCAGGTTCTGCCGGATCAAACCGGGCCGTGTTCTGACTGAATGTTAGACTCTCTTTGGTCTCTCCTCATTGGTAGCTCTGCCTGTCCAGACCCACAACAGCAGTTTGGATGAAATGAAAAACTGAACACAGTCATTTGTTTGGATTTCACATGCTTTATTTAAAATCTAACCAAGAAACAAATCCAACATCTCATTCTACTGTTGGTTTTTATAGTGAGTACAGTGGAACAGGTTATTGTTGTTTTTTGGAGATGAAGATGGTTGAGACGTCTCCATCTAATCAGAGTCGCTGCTGCTGCAGGAGCTGCTGGAGGACTGAGAGGAAACAGAAACATCGTTAATGTTCAGTCTGACACTGTAAATAATATTCAGGCAGAAAACGCCGAGAAGATCAAGGACTGGAGAAAAGGCTCTCACCCCGTGGCAGCTCTTCCCTTTCTTGTGGCACTTCTGGTGTTGGTGACCACGCTTACACCTCCGTCTCTGCTTGACCTTCCCACACCCACCATGTCCATGTCCATGACCGTGTCCATGTCCATGTCCATGACCGTGTCCATGTCCATGTCCATGTCCATGTCCATGTCCATGTCCATGACCGTGTCCATGTCCATGTCCATGTCCATGTCCATGTCCATGTCCATGACCATGTCCATGTCCATGTCCATGTCCATAGTCTGTCTCACCACACCCACCATGACCGTGTCCAAGACTATGGTCTTTCCCACCACAACCACCATGTCCAAGGTTTTTTTCACCACAACTAACATGTCCAAGGTATGTGACACTAAAACCACCAGGTCCAGGTCCCTTCCCACCACAACCACCAGGTCCATGTCCTCCTGAGAACGAATATAAAAGACAATTAAAAGCCAGTTTTTGGGTGATGGTAAAGCCACAAATCTGGTTCTTTGTAATAAAAAAATCAGTTGGAGATCAATATTTCAGATTTACCCTGTCCGTGTCGATCCATCTCACAGCTTCAGCTTCTGGCTGTCTCTCTTCAGAAAACTCTGTTTAAAAGAAGCAGATGATCATCAAACCTCAGAGGAATTAAAATAATACCCTACCCTACTGTGATGCACCGCTCTTACCTGTGGTGATGCAGAGGAAGAATCCTCAGCAGAGTTCTGTCCAGGTGAGCCGATCCACTGATTCCTCTGTCACTCGTTGCTGTTTTTATGTGATTCCTCCAGCCTGAATCCGTTCAGCATCACCGCGTCTGAACTTCCTGCTGTCATCCTTCGTTTGGCGTAAAGAATGCCGTCACCAGTTTTCATAATCCGCTCCATTCGTCATCCTTATGTTCAAAGTCATGTCAGATCCGAGAAACTGTTGCTTCATGTTGTTATTTCTAAAACACCCACAGTTTAATCTGTGACCCAGCCTTCGCATCAAATAAGTGAGTCTTTGTTTCATCCTTTCTGCACAGCGTGATGGATGGACTTTGATTGCTAACATGTTTGCACAGCTTGGACCCTCCAAACAGATCTTATTGTGCAAACACACAGCTCCTTCAGTATTTCAACATTTACAGTTATGCTTTCAAAACCGAAGGCTATGTTACGGTGAGCTGTTACACAACAGAATAAATAATTCAACAAGCTTTGACTGATACTTGAGTCTGATGACAAAATAGTTTCCAGTTTGGTCAGCTCTTCAGAAACTGAGAATGGAGGAGTCTCCAAACACAAAACCTTTCAAACATCACATTTAACTATGCAGATTTTTTTATGAAGTGGGTCCTCATGGGAATGTTTATTTCTGGACAGGTATTGTGTTTGAATAAAACTTATTTCTGTATTATTGCTGTTTGAGACTTGATTTGACCTTATCAAGTTATTATGGGTAAATGGACTGAACTTATATTGTGCTTTTCCAGTCATTTTGACCACTCAAAGTGCTTTACATTAGAATCACACTCACCCATTCGCACTCACAAACGGAGTTAGGTGCCCAAGGGCACATCGACATGTGCCAGGACGAAGCTGGAATCGAACCTACAACCTTCCGATCGCAAGATGACTACGGTACCCACACAGCCACAGTCGCCCTTCCAATATATTTATGTGTTAGAAATATTCTAAATATTCTGACATAAAAATATTTCTACGCATATTTTCTGTTGCTGCGCTTTACTCTTTGGGAACCCTTTGTGTCTCATAATGTTTCCCGACATGGAAAGGACTCGTTAGCTTAGTTAGCTTAGCGCGCTTAGCGCTAGCTTAGCATCAGCTCTACTACGGCTTCTCCTCAAATGGAATAAAGATAATTACGGTTCTGAAGAGAAACATAAAATAATTACAGGCCTTTACTCATTTCTGAGATAATATGAACATAAACATAATTTATTGTTAAATACTGATAAGGTGATTATGATGAAGGACTTTAACATTTATGTTAACACTGATAGTCTGACACAGTGAAAGCGTAAATGTATCCATCAGTCCTTCCTCAGACTCAGTTGGTTTAACTAAAAGAATCCAGTCCTGCTCACTT